TGTCCGCGGTGGCGGCCGTGACCTGGAAGATGTGCCTCGAATCGCTGTGGCGCCTTCCCGAGCACCTGGTTCTTCGGCTCGCTGACCGAGGCGGGCGCGGGCATGGCGGACCTGGTCGAGGCCGGGTTCTTCGCCAGAGCCGCGCGTGGCAAGGCGCAGGTGACCTGCGCCACGGTCTTGGCCCTCTGCCCGCAGCAGATGAATGGGGCCCAGGCACTGCCACGCGCAGCGCGGGCGATCAGAGCACGGCGCCGTTTCAGCCCTGCTACCACGCGGGCTCCTGCGCCTTGAATGGTGGTGGCGGCGATCGCACGCGCGATGGCCACGAAGGGCGTTCCGACCGAAGCGCTGATGACGTTGGTGATGTTCTCGGCGTACCTCCGCCCCTGCGAGACGTGGAACTTGCGCGCCGAAGATGCGGCGCCGCCGTGCCCCCCCTGTCCTGGACGCCGGCGCTGAACCTGCACCCAGAGGAGCGCGGGGGCACGTCGAAGACGCTCGCGACCAACGAGAGCATCTTGTTGGACCACCCGCGCCACGGGTTCCTCGGGCTGGAGGTTGTCAGGTTGGCGCGCCCAGAAAGTCGGGCCGCCTCTTCAAGCTCAGCATCCAGCGCTTCAATGCGGCGTTCAAGCAAGCGCAGCACGAGCTCAACCTGCCCGCGGCGCACGTGCCCCACCAGCTACGACACGGAGGACCCTCGGCAGACAGGCGGGACAACGTCCGCCCCCTCGCCGAGGAGAAGCAACGAGGCAGGTGGGCCAGCGATTCGTCTCTTCGTCGATACGAAGCGGCCGCGCGCCTGCAACGAGAAGAAGCTCGACTATCCAGTCCCCTCAGGGGTTTTGCCTGTCCGCCATCGCCTCGTTGCCGACCAACCTTGGGAGCGTCGTTGTGCCTGTGCCTGGAGCACCTCGAAAAAGGAAATTATTCGTGGAGATCTTCTCGGGCTCTAAGCACCTCTCGTTTGCTGCGGCCCAGTGTGGATACCGATGTTACGCCGTTGACAGATGTGACTCGCCCAATCAGGACGTCCTACGGACCAAGGTATTCGAAGCCATCAGTGCCTTCATCGCACATCCCAATTGCAAGCTCGTCTGGATGGGCACCCCCTGCACGTCGCGGTCGACAGCGAGGCGGGGGGGGGGGGCGGTTTGCCCCCCCCGCCCCCCCGCCTCCCCTGGGGCTCCAGCGACGGCGTGCACGGACTTGGTGGCCTCAGCTTTTCGGATGCTCAAAAGGTCAGGGTCGGAAACAAGTTGGTGAGAGTGTCCGCCAGACTAGCTCGTTGGGCGGCCGTCTGCCGTCGCCAGTGCATCATGGAGAATCCAGCATGATCGAGAAAATGGCTGAGTACTGAATTCAGGCGATTGGAGGGCATGCGCTTTGTAAAAATACCCACGTAGTTTTTGTGTGCACGGTGCCCCCTGGCAGAAAAATAGCAACTGTCGGTTTGCCCGTTCTCTGCCCCGGGGCTAGCTGAGCTCCGCGGGTGTCGCATGAAAGCTGGACGCTGCGGTTCGTCAGGTAACATGCACGAACAGCGTGTGGGCAAGAACCCGCAGGACGAATTTCGAACGAGGATCGCTCAGCTGCGTCCCTCGCTCTTCTGCTCGCATGTTTGTCACATGTTGGGTCTCAGCTGACTGCTTTATAATATCACGCGCTCGCCTAACCTGTTATATCGGCCGTGCTTCGCACGTCCACCACCAGTTCATGGGGGTCTGGGGCATTTAACCTTGGCGCTGTGCTCGCTGCTGCACGCTCGTGGCATGGCGAATCGCTCCCGTGCCAGTGCTAGCGGATATTAAATTGTGGGGCTCGTGGCCAAACCTCGGATGGCGCTCTTAAAATAGACGGACCCACACAGATATTGTCAGTGTTTGCGCGTTGTTGTTCGTCGCCGTCGTTTCGACACCGTCTGTTGCTCTGTAGATTCTCGGTGATCCCCAAGCCGCCTTTTTTCACCCTCCGCGATCTCAGACACAGTCCGCGGTATTTAACCTTGGCGTTGTGCTCGCTGCTGCACGCTCGTGGCCTCGCGAATCGCTCCCGTGCCAGGGTTTCCGGGTATCAGATTGTGGGGCTCGTGGCCTCACCTCGGCTGGCGTTCGTAAAATTATACTTGAATTTTTTTATGATTTTATTAATATTTATTTTTTATAATTTTTGGTTTTTTTTTATTAATTATATTAATTTCATACATTAAATATTTATTTTATATTTAAATAATTAAATTTATTAATATTGTATGATTAATTAATTGTTTTTTATAATTTATAATATTTTATTGAATTTTTTATTTTAAATTTTTTTATATAAATTGAGTTATTAGTTTATATTAATTAAATTTATGTATTTTTGAGACGGGCCCCACACAGACACACACGACACACATATATCTATATATATATATCTCTATATATGGTATGTATATATATTTATATAATTATATAATATATATATTCTAATTATACTATATATATATATATATAGGGGG